TTTATATTATATTTACATAAAATTTAGAAAAATAACTATTTTTATCACTTATATACAATAAATAAATAATTTTGATTGAAAAATACTTACATTTTGTATAATGAAGCTTCTAGATCGATCAGATAAATAATTTCACTTTTCTCGTACTCTCCTATTTCACACACGTATGTGACATGTAGGTGCGAATTTGCACCCAAAATGAATTTTCAATGTGCCTTAAGCAAAGGCTAAGGCGCAAATGATCCTTGGAACCTTTCTACTTCAAACCATAGAGTACAAACATAACTCACGTAGTGGGGGAAGACCGCCAAATTCATCTGTTTTCAAATGCCCACAAGTTGAAAATTTTGTGGGTGCGAATTCGCATCCAGATATCCTTTACGGATTAAACTTTAGACCAAAGATTTTCAAATTAACATTACATTTATGTCTGACGACGACAAACAAAAGGAATTTTTATCATACTTTGGCTACCATATTTATTTTATACAGAGAGAATTATTTCCGTTTTAAGTTTTTATTATTACCTTTACTACTCGTGTTACTCGTGACGCAAGCGCTCGCCTCGTCGAGAGCTTGCGACGACTGCTTTCGACGCGGCAGGAGTGCGAATCTCTTTGGCATCGCGGGAGCGAGACGGAGACTCGTCGAGAGACTTGGCTCGATTCAGTTTCCGTTTCCTGGTTGGTCGGGTCGACCCGATGGCGTCCGATGAACCTGCGGGGCTAATGTACTTGACTCGCCTTCCACAAGCCGACAAGCGGGGTGCCGTACTTGGCACCGCGGCACGTGAGCACCATCGCGTGTCCTACCGCGGCGTACCATATACCTATCCTTCCTTCGTCATCCTTGCTCTTCCTTGCTCGCCTCGCGTCCCTCTTTCCGTCTTCTCCCCTTTATACTCGTCTTTTCCCTCTAGCTTTCTCGCGATCGATGACATTTTCTCCAGAGAGTGCGATTCAACGAGAGATTCGTAATTCAATGAACAGCGGTAACAGTCGAGTCGTGCTTCGAAGGGAATCCGAGACAAAGCCAGTAGTTTTTGTTGCATATAACAAGTGGGTACAGCAAGCAGAATGAACAGACGATTATGTAACACGCCTGATAAATATAAAAATACGTTCGTACACTGATTGTGAGAAAAATATTCTAATTATATATCAACGAGCGAGTATAAGGAGTATACACCGCGAAAAGCTCGGTTTTGTTATTTAGAAAAGATATAGAGATCTGGAAAAATAATGGTGTTGGATCATCAAAATGATTATTATATTGAATGTTCTCAAGAAGATTGTTAGAATGTCGAAACTTTTTACTTTTTAGCATCACACTTGAGCGACTTACATAATTATTTTGATGGTGTTGTGTACAGCAAAATTATTAATAATAAATTCTTTAAAGATTCTTTTAAGATGTTTCAAGATTGTTATTAAGTTATCAGTATCATTAAATTGCTTATCAATTTAATTTGCGATAGCACTATTTTAGTTTCAGTTTAGAATTGCGTTTCAAGAAAATTAAATCGGGCATGCAGTTTACATAACTGGATATGTATATAAATTTACATTGGAGTGTTATTATTAAATACGAAAATCTAGCTCAGACCGAAAAAGTTCCTTTTTCACTCGTGTTAAACATACAGTAATTATTTTCAGATCTGTATCTAGCGAAATTTTTAAATACTTTAACAAAACGTTCATTTCGCATTTTGTAGAACGCATTTTGGTGAAGCCAGAGAATTTCTGATTGTTATGATTGGATTCAATGTTTTATATTAGCTAGTACGTTAGATAGACTTAAATATAAGAATTAATATTTTTGATTACGGATATAAAACTTTTAATTACATTCATTAGACATTCTTTTTATTAAAAAGTTATATTGCCTTAAATAATTAAATAAATTTAGCGTCGTCGAAAAATTTTGATATATTTAACAGGAAGGCATTAATCATGCTCATCTGATGATTTTTAAAAGAATTTTGATTCATTTTCTAACAAACACATACTGGCCAAATCTCAGTCTTTCAATTTATGCAGCCAGAATTTTTTTTAGTGTACAGTCTTTGAGGATACTCCCATGGTAAGGTTGCAAGGACTTCCGTTCCCACAATTACGTTCTTTCCTGTCTCTAACTTACAACTGATTTAGTCCATTTGTATCTAATTTAGCGAACTTGATGCTAAAATATAATGCTAAAATAAATTGCGTATTTCTTGGAAATGAAATAGCGAATTATTGGAATAGCGTACTGAATACCTACTTGACGCGGTGTCGCGCGCGGAAATTAATTTTCCATCCGGACAGTTGGGGTCGAATCCGCGGGTTTCGGTGGTCAATTATAGCCTGCACGTTTGCAATACCGCTTTGCCCCGAGTGTCGAACGCAGAGAATCCTCCCCCCCCCCGGCCGCACTACGGGGCTTGATCCAATAAGCTCTTCTGTCCCCGGCGTACGTCCAGAAATATGGAGGAGGGGTCAACGACCTCCGTGACGTAACGCGAACACGCGCGCACAATTAACGACGAATTCTGTCGGACGAGAGAGCCGTATGCATATACTCGGGAAGCTCTCTCTCTCTCTCTCTCTGTGCCGCTCGCTCTGATATCCTACTCGAATTGAATTGCTACCGTAATGTACGAATGGTGGTTAAACGTTTTTTTTCTTCTGTTTACAGACTTGCGGTGAGCGACTGTGCGCCTCAGACGTCGCGGGTCAGTTCGAACCTGCACAGCAGCAGTAGCATGGCGGTGAGCCGCGTCCCGAGCCCACCACCGCCGGAAGTGAACACCCCCGTAGCCGAGAATTGGTGTTACACGCAGGTACGTTTCATCACGCGGTGCGGTGGTTCATTGTCCTCGTGCTGGCCCTCCGCCGCCGTCGCCGCCGCGCGGTTTAGCCGCGCGATCGATTCACCTGCGCCGAAATTCACCCAGTCACCGTGAGCGGCGGAAATTGCCAGAGACGAAACGAGACGGTGGTGGATTATATCGTTATATATTTACGTTAATACTTATCGCTTATAATTTTAAGTCGCTGTGTCGACAATTCTATTTATTTTCAATCTAAATCGAGACTGCTTGAAAAGTTTTTTTTGCGCCACGTATAAATGATCTACGATACGATTTTGATACCTATAGAACAATATATTACGCATGCAGGATTAATTTTGCTGCACACGCTAAAAGAATATTTTTAGAATAGAATCGTCCGACGTCTCTGTCGCGAGAAGGAATAATCTGTTAGACATAAACATCCAAAATTACTGTTCCTCGTAAATTACTGTTGAGGTAGTATGAATTCTGCATCGCATACCTCGTACGTTCTTCTGGAAGCTAGCTGTTTTCTAAAACCATGTATTCTTAGTTAGGTTGCGGTTTCGCGTCGCGTATACCTCTATAGTCTATACATTATGCGGATTCAGATTTATCCTGAAATCGAAGGACTTATTTTCGAATCGCCTGTACTGAGAAAAATTAGTTTTGGTTGTACCAACAAAGAGAAGAATGTACAAAATACATTCTGATTTGTATACCAATCATCGGAGCTCTTTCTATCGTAACTGAATTATTACTGGTTTATTTCAACTAGAATGTCTGATATATTTAACTATAAAGTAGATTTGATTTGATTCTTTGTTGAATCCAGATTTCCAATTAATGCAACCAGATATTTTTTTTAGTATGTAAACACAATAAATTTCGAATAAATAATAAATGAAAACGATAATAAATAGAAAATGAAAGATTATTCCAAATTCGCATTTCCAAGCCGCGCGTCGAAAGATCCTCATATGAAAAACTCACGGAGAGCTTTTCGACTCGAGCGGCGGAGGGCTCTTTCCTCTTTCGCGCTGTTCCTCCGCCCGCGCCAGTGTAGCGCGGAGATTTAGGACGGCGGAATCGGAGATGAGTTTTTTCGGTGGCGTTCGCGATAACACCGCGATAGCGGGCGATGCCGACTTGGCGAGTTCAGTCGCCGCGCCGCACCGTGCCGCGCCGGACGAAAATCTGACACGATCGGGCCACGGTTGGCACGGTAGCCTGCACGCGAGAGGGAGGACGAGGGGCGACCGGCGAAGAGGAGAGAAAAGAAAGAAAAGGCCCTCTCGCGTGTCTTAGAGAGATGTGGAGAATTCGCGCCGGCGGTCCGCCGGCGCGTAGCCGCGCGCGTGAGAGCACGCGCTCCTGGCGCTCTCATTCTATTTTTACTGCGCTCGTCCCCCTCGCGCGATGTGAACGACCTGCAACTAGATATCTCTCTCTCTTTCTCATCACTCTCCTCCCGTCCTCCTCCTGCCATACGTCGATCTCTCCCTCACAGCCGCGGAATCGTTTCGCGATTCTCGCTGGAAATCCGCGCACCTTCCCTCACTTCCCCTTCGCCTTCTGCAGTTATTTCCGCTTTCGGGCGACCGCGCCGGTAGCGGATTCGCGATGGATCGCGACCAAGTTGCATACTCGTGCGATTACGGTGTCCCTACGTTTGACGCCCTGGATACCATGGATAAATGGATAGAGAGAGGTTCATTATCAGGCCTGGGCGAGTCTTCCCCTCCCTCGGCTCAGGGAGATCCGCAACAATGGACAATTGTCCGTTGACAGCGGCAGGGGGAGGGGAGGAGGAAAACGGTAGAGTTAGGTAAACGAAACGAAATAACAAACGTTGGTATAATAATAGCGCGGAACGCGTATATGTGTGGTACAGATAGCCGGGCGATACGGGTAAAAGTGAGGAAAATATAGTCACAACTCATTACTGTTAGTGATTGATATTGATGAAAAAGCTCGCGTTATCCTCACGAGATTAGACGTTACCCTCGCTGAGACGTGCGGCGCGACTCTCGAGAGAGCGAGACCTCCGTTAAAAGTCCTCGTGAATATAAAAAAGCGCTCGCGGGAGCGCGGGGAGTTGCGGGAGCTGGAGCCCCGATAGGTTTCTCTCTCACCCGTCGCGTATATGTGTAGTACATGTGTGTATGTGTATATATATATATACATAATATATATATATATATATATATATATACACATACACACATGTGTATATATATATATATTTGTATTTATAGCTTCACCGTTCTAATTTCGACAGCGTGGTAGAAACGCGAACGTTATTACGCTCGCTTTCTCGCGGGAGTTGCGCAAGAACGACGGCAGCGGCCGCGCCGCGAAATTTTACGATACCTACGTACACGCGCGCGCGGAGCCCGCGTCGTGCCTCGCGAATCGATAGAGCACACGCACATTGCCCGTCGGCTGGCCGGCCGGCCGTTCATTCGTTCGGCGCGGGGTTCGCCTATAAATCGAAAGTCAATTCCGTGCTCCAGTTAACTTTCGTAATGCGCGCGACACCGATTTCTCGCGGTGTCAGCGACGCAGAAGGGAAGGGAGGGGAGGGGAGGGAATGCTCGCATCACGGACATCATACGTAACGTCATCCCGCGACGGGAGTCCGTTGTCGCGAGTCGCGCGTCTCACAATCTCTCGATTGAGGCGCGGCGAGCCTCAAGTGTCAAAAACTCGCGATAACGCGCGCCGAAGAGTCTCTCCCGGCTCGCGCGAGAGACCGCGCCGGTTTAACGGCAATGACGATGACAACGACAGCGGTGGAACCTTGCGCGCCGTTCAGGAAGGCGCGATCACGGGTTCAAGGTTGACAGAACAATTACGAAACGATTATATCATCACCCGAAATCCCTGGTATTTCTCTCTTTAATGTTGTATCCGAAGGATATATACATATACAAGATTTCGGCCTTTTATTCACACGAGGACGCGGCGTGAATTTAGTTTCTCGCCATGTTGCCCGAGGTTGCGGGACTTACCTTGTGGCCCAAGGCTCAAAATCCAAGGCTCTACGTAGAGTTATGTGGATTTTTTTTAGGGAGCTATAATTCGCGCGGCTTTCAGATTTAGAAATTGTCGCGATAAGCGAATAGTGCATTATTTCACATGCTACAATCAATCGGGATTATACAGCGTTTTATAAATTTTTCACGCTGAATTTATCTGCGGTTTCGTCGATTCAAACTTTCCAAGCCAATTCTGCAACAATAAGAAATTAAAATCCTAAATTGGAATTAAGCGAGAATTTATATACACACCATTCTATCATCTATTCTTATATCTCTCGGCTTCTATTTCACGAAGCGTTCTGCATTTGCAAGATTTATTTATTCCCTCTAAAAAAAGAAGATAGATGAAAAAGAAGAATATCCAATCATGATTATATTCCTCGAATTATTATACGCTAAGAATAACATTTTAGTTGTATCAATATGAAATACCTTCAAAATGTATTCTGCTCATACCAATCAGAATTTCTTTTATTGTAATTGAATTTTTGGTTATGGCGACTAGAATGTTTGATATATTTAACTGTAGGGTAAGGGCACTAGATGTGGATCAGGCATTCTCTATAATTCTAGACAATTTATCATATTTAAATAATTATTGTATTTTTCATTGAATAACGCTTATCACGAAATTCTTTAATTTTTGTGTTAACTTTATCAATCGTCAATTGTTTCCTATTAACTAGCACCAATGTTGCACGTTATGACGATAAAACCAGCCCACATTGCACGTTTTATTGATGTCATTAAGTAATAAAATGTAAGATGTCAATTTAGGTATATCTTTCATTTATGTTTAATATCTATAAAGATTACCTTAACAGAAACAATAGCATTAAATTCATGGAAAAAATAAAAAGATGCTCGAGTTAAAATTAAATATGTACCTGCAAAATTAAATATTTTGCAGGTAATCTGATCTGCAATTAGATTCAGATATCTAATTGTGATAATTTTCATTTTGTTGAAACTAAAAAATGCAAAATAGTACTGAAATTGAATAAAATAATTCCTACAGGATTTTTTATGATAGTTGCAACTCTCGAATATGTTATTAAATTGATTGATATCTTTCTGGATAAAAATATGAATTTTCATTCTTATGATCTTAGAACTAGTGTCTTATGCTGAAGGGTATTTATTGAATGTGCTACATTTCCAATTAATACAATCAGATATTTTTTCAATGTACACTGAAAGAAAAAAATGATTGCGGTTGCAATTACCATAATTATGTATAATGTATAATTAGTTTCGATATCAATTATATATTTGTTTAATATATCTATATATGTAAGTGTAATAATAACAATAATAATAATAATAATAATAATAAGCAGTAATTATAAAAATGGAGCTCCTTTAATTATTTTAAAATGCAAATACAGTCAAAAATATAGTCATGCAATTATAGTAAGAAATACCAAACCCTTTTCTCTCAGTGTACATTCCTTTTAAGCACAGTGTATTTGCGGCCGCATCGTGGCGTGTGAAAATATTCGCACGACTTGCTCAACTCGGAATTTGTTTGCCGTTCGAACGCGTGCTTCCGTGAAACCGCATCGCGCGACAATGCCTGGGTACAAGTGCGAGAACCACGCGGAGCGTCTGGAAAACGCGCTTACAACGCAGGAAGTATTTTCGTAAGACGTCTCCGCGGTCGTTCATCTCCACGACCATCTCGGCTTGGTGATTTGCGCGGGGAGCGGCGATCGTTTACCTCGGCGGCACGGCGCGGCGACCGTGTACCGTGTCCAGGAGGAGGACTCGTCTGTCCACACCGGAAGCCGCCGGTCTTGGCCGTTGTTGTTGGTCCGTCTTGGTGCTTGAACCTCGACGCGCGCGTTCCATGGCGCTCCCGTAAACGGGCACGGGTGATTCAAGGCCGATCGCCGTTGCTGCCGTCGCCGCCGCCGCCGCCGCTGCCGCCGCCGCCGCTGCCGCGAGCGGGTTGAACGACTCCTA